TGGGTCTTCTCCCTCTTGGGTCACTTCTTGACTTTTCACTCTCAAAGTGATGTCTTTTGATGAGTATAAGCTATGCATTTTAATATATTTCTCTGTATTATTTTGGACACTTTTTGTGTTATGCTCCAAGTACTTTTGCCTACCCCAAGGTCCTGGAGATTGTCTTGGGTGTTTCTTCCCAAACCGTCCACAATTAGCATCCACCTGGCATGTGGTTTTGCATAGCAGAGGGTCGATATATTTTTCCATATGGATATTTAATTGACTGGCCTGATGTATTAGAAAGATTAGCTTGTCCTCACTGCGCTGCAGTGTCACCTTTGTTGTAAAGATGTGCAGGTCTGTTTCTGTTGCATGTGTTTATCTGTTTCTGTACTTGATGATAGCTCTTAGGAAATGCAATGTAACTCACTGTTCACAGGTAATTTCAGAGTTCAGGCGAAGGAAGGTCTCTTCTCCTTTCTCTACTCACACTGAGCCTCTAAGAACCTGTGGGTGTGTCTGGGCCCAAGAGATCAGCTTCCCCTTGCACTTCCCCCTAAGGGTCTGGGGACACCAGGAGTCCCTTGAAGATGTGGCATTCAGCTGAGAGGGCTGGACCTCCTGCCAAGATTACTTCGTGTGAAGTGTTTGCAGGTTGCTGAACAAATCTGGGAACGGGGGTCTTGAGGTTTGAGGAGAATCCTCCAAGTGGCCCTGGCTCTGAATGTTCCAGTGGAGGGGCAGTGAGATGAATCTGTCCCAGGGGCCCATCAGTCTGGACCTCCAGCTCTGGCACTTTGAGTGGGCAGAGATGGGCACTAGAGTATGGCTAGCCAGGTTAGGGAGAGGGGCAGGTATGAGGGTTCCAGGGCCAACTCTGCTAGGCATTTGGGTGGGGGTCTTGAGGGAAGTCTCTGCTCCTCTCTGGGCCTCTGACTCCTCACCTTTGATCTCCCTGTGTTATGGGATGGATTGTGTCTCCCAAAAACACATGTTGAAATCCTAACCCCTGAGGCCTTGGAATGTGACCTAATTTGGAGCAGGGTCTGCATAAGATAGAATCAGGTTAAGGTGAGGTTATTAGAGTGGGTCCCAATTTGATATAACTAGTATCCTTATAAGAGGTAGAGATAGAAACACATGGAGAAATTGGCCACGTGAAGATGAAGGCAGAAGTTGCACCCTGCTTCCATATGACGGAACAGCTGGAACACAAGAAGCTGGATGAAATTAGGAAGGGTCTCTGCTAGAGGGTTTGGAGTGGTCATAGACCTGCCGACACCTTGATGTTGAACTTCTAGTCTCCAAAACTATGAGACAATATAGTCTGTTGTGTTAAGCCACCCAATTTACTGTACTGTGTCACGGTAACCCTAGGAAACCAATACTCCTTGCTCTAGCTTGCTCCTCCAATCTGTCCTTCCCCAAGTCACTTTCCTGCCTCAAACCTGCCTGTGGTTCCTCACTGACCACTAGGACAGCACTGTGTATGCTCATGGCATCTCCCATCCAACCAGTTCTGACTGAAGTCGTGGCTCCTGCCTTCTCTTTGACTTTTCCCTACCTTATTTTATGGCACACCAGCCACCTGGGCCACTGGATGACTCAAGAGTCATCTCTGAGTACTCTTTCTCAGGCCCACATCCAATCCAGTGACAAGCTCTACCTCCAAAATGCAACATGCTCACCCCATTTATGCCTCCAACTTTTCTCTCTCTTGTTAATTGCAAAAGTGGCACAGTTAAGTGCAATGTGGCTTTTCAGCTCCTTCCTTTCATAGTACAGTCCACTTCTCCACCCTTGAATCCGAGCTTCCCTTGGGACATGTCTTGGCCACTACCAACTAGAATGAGCTGAGCATGATGTTGAACCAGTCCTGAGCGCAGGCCTTGTGCACTTCCTGGAATATTACCAGCATCCTGAGCACAAGCCCAGACTCACCTCTTAGAGGATGATGTGCCTGGAGCAGAGACCAACTGTCTTCCCAGGCAAGGGTATCCTAAAGCAACGAGCCCTCAGCTAACCTAGATACAAAGCCAGCCTAGGTCCACGGAGCCTGCCCAAGATGAGCAGAGCTGCTCAGTTGACCTGTAGACTCATAAAAAACTGTGTTGCCTAAAACTTTGTTTTGGGATAATTTGTTACACAACCATAGCTAGCAGTTGGAACTTAGCTAATTGCCAGATGTTCCTTTCCCCTCTCACAATACCTTCTCCTCTGAGAACCCAGAGGGGTCTCTGTTTTACTTCTTACCCTCCAGTGTGGTTTCCTGTTGCAATTAGAATGAAATGCAGACTCCAGAACACAGAACATAGCCTACAAGGCCTGGCCACCTTCCCTGACTTTCTTATCTCCCACTTCTTCAGCTACACAGGCCTTTCTTAAACTCTCACTTGTAGCCTACTGTTTTTGCTTTCAGTCAGCTGGAACAGTGTCTCCTAGACCAACCTATGGCTACCTCTTCCTCTTCCTTCAAAGACTAACCCAAATAGTTAGCTTTAAGAGGCCTCCCCTGACCATCCTTGCTAAAGAAATCCTCCTCACCACCTTGCCCAGTCATGTTCTGTCTAATGCCCTTTTATATATATAAATATATAAAACACCCTGTCTTTATTTTCTCATTACTTGCTAAAATTTCTGTTAAGGTGCATGTTATATATCTCCTGTATTAGTCAGCTTTCTATTGCTGGGATAAAATACCTGACATCCATAACTTAAAGAGAGGTTTATTTTGGCATATGGTTTTAGAGGATACAGTCCATGTAGGGCTGGTTCCAAGGCAGAAGGGTGTGGTAGAGGAAAGGTATTCAACCCACAGCATCCAGGAAGCAGAGAGACAGGGGAAGAGCTAGAGAAGAAATGTATCATTCAAAGGCACACCCCACTGACCCACCTCTTCCAATCCTAGTGGCACATTCAGCTGTGAACTCAATGAATTCGCATCAGTGAAGTTAATGCCCCATGATCTAGTCACCTTCCCAAAGCTCCTCCTCTGAAACATGAGACTTCTGGGGTTTTTGATCATTTTGCAACTTGAATGCAAACTCTATGAAAGCAAGAATGTGTTTATTTTTACCCCTTGCTGCATCCTTAGACATTGTAACAACTCCAGGCACACAGTAGGTGCTCACTAAATATTTGTGAAATGAATGGATGAAAACACCAAAGCAAATGCACCTTTGTAGTGCAGCTGACAAACTCTTGTCCACAACATCTCTTGGACTCTTTTCCCTGCCAATTGTCCACTCTGTCTAGACTGAACTGCTGCAGGTCCCCTGTGTGCGCCACTGATCCTGGTCTCAGAGCTTTGCATATTGTTCCCTCTGCCTGCCTTTCTTCTCACCAGACCCTAGTAACTCCTATGGATCACAGAAGCTCTTTATTAGCAGCCTCCCCCTCCTTCCCCAGCCTACAGTTAGGGTCCCCTGACCCTAGATCTCTCAAGGCAGCTGATCTCCTTTACTGTGCTCATCATACTATGTCATGATTAATTGGTTCCTCCTCTATCTGTGGGGCAGGGGAATGGAGCATTGGGATGTTGGACACCATCCTGCTGTCCATTGTTCTGAACACCAAATGAGGAGAATTAGGACTGGGATGCTGGACTCTGGCTCCTCTGTAACATTGGAGGGGCCAAATGTCCCTCTCTCTGAACACCTTGCATGTGGGGCTTATAGTGGATTGTGGAGGAATGGAACTGTTGGGCCAGGGATGTAGCTCAGCACCACAGTGCCTGCCTGGCAAGTTCAAGGTCCTGAGTTCGATTCTTGGTACCAAAAAAAAAAAAAGGAATGGAACTGATGTGCAACTCCAGATCTGCAGGAAAGAACCAAGGGTCTGAGCAGACCACAGGATGAATACAGAAAGGCAGCTCTCTAATGCTGTTGGTGGAGGGAAAGAAAATGAATGGATAAATAAAATCGATGTTACCTTGAAGTCTGTCTTCATTACAGGAAAGGAACCACTGGCCTCATGCCATATTAGAGAATTGAGCTGGACCTGTTTTCAGGCATTCATTTTAAAGAGAGATGTGGTAATGATCTTGGAGTAATAACGAACTGAATTGTATGACAAAATCGTGGGGCAAACCAGCCTGAAGATGAATGGGCTAAGTGGCCATTGTCACATTACATTGTTATGGTTAATGTGTCTGGTATGTGACTTTTAAGGGCCATTTAATCTATTATTTGTTTCTCATCATTGTCCTTCTTGAACATACATATTTACTAGACAATGAAAGCTGACTTCTCTCTTTCCGTGGTGACTTGAATGGGAGAAAATATATTCCCACTGCAGATAGGGAGAATAGATGAGACTTCCTGATGTTGAGGACCCAACCCCTGGGTCTGCAGTGTTGACATAAATACCTTTGAGGGTGATTTTGGCTTTTGCTTTTGGGTGAGGTAAGACTGACAAAGTACCCAGCACTTGGTTATTGTTGTGTTTTGGGTGTGGCTTGAATGTGTTCTCAAAGGTTCATCATGTGCCGCAAGTGCAGTCCCCAGTGTGGCCATGGGAGAGGCGGTGGCCTCTGTAAGAGGTGGGGCCTTGTAAGAGGTCATAGGTGCTTCTCTCTCAAGCTCCTGTGAGCCCTGGTTATTTCTCCAGAAAAGGTTGTTATAAAACAGCAAGACCAGCTGTCCTGGCTCTTCAGCTTCTGGTCTCCCTCCCATATACCTGTCAGAAGGGTGATGCCATGATGTGATGTAGTCAGACGCTCACCAGAGCCTATATCATGCAGCTTGGACTTTCAGACTCCAAAACCATGAGCTAAATAAACCTTTTTTCTTTACAAGTTATCCAATCTCAGCTATAGCAATGGAAAATAGACTAATACAGAGGTGTTCAGAAAATACATTTCCTTTTCCTGTTTTGAAGAGCTGGTTCTCCCAAAGGGACAGGAAATTACTGGAGGGAAGGATTATCACTTAATCATTTGGAGCTGGGTTCTGAAGACTCTGGTGTGGGCCTCACATGATTCTGCCCCAGCACAGCAGGGCTGCCTGTGCTCTGGCTCCTGCTCTCCTGGTCTGACCTCTCCTCCAAGGTCCCTGTCTCCTCTTAGTGGTGCCTGTGCCTCCAGAGTGGGCAGGAGTGGCTGGGGCAAGTGTGGGGCCTGGCAGCCTCCATACCCTCTCTATAGCTCCAAGGTGACTACTCTCAGTGGAGATGATTCCCCTCTGAGGGGCACTTTAGGGCCTGGACGGGGGCCCTGGATGTTAGAAAGGCACAAGGAAGGGCAGTCCCTGCCACCTTCCTGTCTGAGTCAGAGTTAGAGCCAGGGTACCTTGGCCTGGTTGAAGCAGAGGCTGTGTCATGGGGGTTTCCTGTGGGAGTCTTGCTCCCTGTGGCTGTGCCCTAGGGACTTGGGGACCGAAAGATTTTGGGGTTTACCATGGGAAGATGTGGCTTTGTATCATCAGCTTTTCCACAGGGCTTTGATTCAACATGGGCATACCCAATTCTGAGGCTCTTGTCTGGGAATGCAGCGGCTGGGATGTCAGTCTCTTATCCACTGGGGGGCCATGGGAATATTTTATTGAGCTCTTTGGTGTCAGTGACCATGCTTCCTACTGTACCCAAAAGCTCTTTTTCTTTCTTTTCTTTCCTTCCTTCCTTCCTTCCTTCCTTCCTTCCTTCCTTCCTTTCTTTCTTTCTTTTTTTTTTTTCCGTTACCGGGGATCGAACTCAGGACATTGCACTTGCAAAGCAGGCATGATGCCACTGTGCTAAATCCCCAGCAATGATGATGTCCTGGACTTACTGATATTGAGGTCCCTACCATCTCTGAAAGCCACCAGCCCTAGAAGGGACCCCATGGTTGTGAGCACCCAAAGGCCCCTTTCCTTGCTTCTATCTGTGCTGACAGAGTCTCTCCTTGCTCCCCCTCTGCATAGACACACAGGAGGCTGTGTGTGTGTGTGTGTGTGTGTGTGTGTGTGTGTGTATCCTTTAACCTTTTGTCTTCTTGAAGTCCCTCTGGGGACTCTGAGTCTCCATTTCCCACTCTAAGACTTCCTTCCTGGAAGCCCTTGCTAAGGAGTCTTCTTTAACAGGGGGAAAACCTGCAGTTTCCCCTAAGTGGGGTTGGACATGGGTGGTGAGGACAAACGCTACACCCATAGAGTAATCTGTGATGCTTTTCTGATTGCTACTGTCTAAAAGAGATGCGCTAAGTCTGAAGGGCCAGTTGTAGTGCACCAGAGGATAGCATCTGGTGGCCACGGTCCGACAGCAGAAGGAGCTGGAAGGTAGCCATGGAGAAGAGCTGTTTAGGAGGTGGTGCTGCTGCGGTTTGGGGGGAACACCTTTTGAACATCTATCTCGGTTTCTGTCATGTGAGAGTGGATGTCCATGTTCAGACCCACATCCTTGCACAGCTTGAACAAGGTCCGGATGTTGTTCTTGGACAACCTCAGGTATCTGTGCAGGAGAAGGCCAAAGAAGTCAGTGAAAGTAGGGTCATAATAGCTTTCTTTTTTTTTTTTTTTCCTTTGTGGCACTTGGAATTGAACCCAGGGCTTTTGCACTGAATTACATCTCCAGTCCCTTTTAGCTTTTATTTTGAGACAGGGTCTTGCTAAAACACTAAGTTGCCCAGGCTGGGCTTGAACTTGTAGTCTTTCTGCTTTAGCTTTGCAGAGTGCTGGTATTATAGGCTTGTGCCACCATACCTGGCTGCTTCTATCTTTATTGACAAGGGCATTCCTGCTCTTAGTGCTTGCTTAGTGCTTAAGCTTCAGTGAGCATGGAACCTCTACACCATGGCTCTAGACAAGCTCTCCAGACATGTGTGGAGTCCTTTTAAGGCAGAGGACACCCATGGGGTGGGGCTTACATTGGTATAACTCTTCTGAAAATCAGTTTGCCAAGTATGACTCCTGGTCCCTTTCCAAAGTAAAAAGGCTTATTATCTTTGACTCAGTAAATCCACTCAAGGTCTCAACTTATCTCCAGAAGTCCATAGAAAGAAAAGTTATAAAATAAGACGCTCACATTTGGAGGCTCTCAACAACAGGAAACAGGGATATTCTGTCAACAGAGGAACAGTTAAGCAAAGAATGGTCTATCCAATTTTGGGATCTCCTAAGTAAAATGCCTTAAATCAAAAGGCATTAGAAGGAAGAAAATGTCACATGGCTGTCACATTAAGCCACATGGGGACCCAAGTCATTCTGTGGGATGTCATTATCATGGACGCAGGATCTGAGGGATGCCAGGGGCCAGGGGAAATAGATAGATATTTTCTTTGAATAATTTTCAAACAATTAAAAAGTTGGGCCATTAATTTAAAACATTTTCTAAAGTCCCATGATTCTGATGTTGATGGAAAGATGACATTGATTCCACTGGTACTGTGTGATCCAGAGTGTTTCTGCTATTGTGTCTGCCAGAGAGCCAGAGAGCCAGAGAGCTCCTTACTCCACATTCAGCTTTGACCTAGTCCCAGCTTTAGTGTGAGGAGTAAGGAAAACTCTCTCCTTAGGGTACTCGCTGGTTGGTTACTTTGCTGCAGATGATGGGGGATATTGATGCTGTGTATTGGTGGAAGCTGGTTTTCTGCCCCTTGGTTTTCCCCCTTTGAAACCTTCACAGAACTTACTCCTCTTGTGGCCAGCTCAGGGCCCCACCAATCCCCACCACTGGAGTATCCCTTCTTTGACATCTCCAGCACTATCTGCCCCTTCCTTCTTGAGCAGCCCAGCCTGGGAGGGTGGGTCCCACACATTTGCACATATGGACACTCATTCTTCTTCCTCCTTGGAGGGCAGGAGTCCTACCCAAATCTCTTTTCCCCTCACCATGGAGCCCAGGGAGGATGTCTGTTGTTAATCTGAAAGCCAAAGCCAAAGTCATTGGCTTTAAGGGTAATCAGTGGAGAATTCTGCCTGTTCATCTTTCAGCCAGCCAACCATTCCACTCATCCCTTAGCCAGTCAGTGAGCAGAGCAGACCTTTGCAATAGGGCTGTTTGGTTTTCAAACATTTAAGGCCATCTTAAACCCACAGGTGGGTTTATTGCTGTCAACTCTATGAGGATGACTACATTATTCTGTTGTCTTATTTCTCCCTCAGCTAAAGCTTTTGAACTTTGTCATTTGCATCTTTACAGTAAAGAATAACACTGAGCTAGGGAGAAGGATTCTTGGAGTTTTGTTTGGAGGGAAGCAGACTGTTTGAGGTTGCTGAAAACCAGTGAGTCCCGATAAATCAGTTACTGAATAACCAAGAAAGGAGACCCTTGGTAAGAGGAGTAAATACCAAATGGTTTTATGCTTTGTCCATAACCCCCATGGGAATCTAATACCCCAAATGTACAGCAGATGGTCACTGGAGACAGTGACTAATATCACTAGAAATTTGACATCCGTGTAAAGGATCTTAAGGGAATTTCTTGTTAAAACAAGACCACACACAATTTGTCCTTTCCTGTTTGAAAAATACACTTGGCTGGTATTGTGAAACAAATGGGAATATTGGAAGGGGTGTGTAAGTGTCCAGATGGGTAACAGCATCCAGACGGCAGCACCTAACTGGCGTGCCCATGTGGGAGATGGTCCTGGGGCAAGGCAGGCTGCTGGGAAACGCAGTGGCTTCAGCTTGGAGCAGGACTTTGGGACCCAAGGCCAGAATTATTCATGCTGAGCTCACCCTCCTATATCCCTGGTGACTGAGCCAGGGACAGTGTTGTTCAAAGTCTGTTCTTCAAGCCCCCCACCCAGCCCACCCTGCCAGGTGCTCACCGGCAGCTCAGCACTTCCTCGGGCTTCAGCATTTTCACATTTTCTATCTTAGGTTCAGTGCCCTTCTCCATGAGGCTCTTTAGCTTGGGTTCAAAAGCAATGTCCAAGGTCCTGTCTGGCCAGTCTTTCATCATGGTCATTCTTTGGCTGCCAAAGGCATTATCCTGTATTGAGGGATCTGCGAACAGGCTTTGGCGCCGCAATGTGTTTGGTCGTGGAGTGGACTCTAGAGCTATGGCATCCTTGATGTCTAACTCTGAAATTGAACAGGTGTCACCAGGGAGTTAGATCTTAGGGGATGTGAGAGGTGGGGGATGCAGAAAGAAGACAAGGCTGAAAGGAAGCATAAATTTCAGATTAACAAGTCTTCCAGGTTCTACAGGTTCCTTTGGGGCATTTGTTTAATTTTTATCTTTTACTCTCCCTTCCCTTTCTCTCCTTCACTTTACTCTCCCCACCCCATCTTTTCTTTCCTCCTTCTCCAGAAGGGAATTGCCTACAGGAGGTAGAGGAAGAAATCAGAGAAAGCTTGGGAGGGTGGTTAAAGGTAGTTAGTCAAAGAGAAAAGGATTCCAGGCAAAAGGAACAGCATGTGAAGGTGAGAGGAACAGCATACACAATAGCACAAGTACATGAAATTGTGTGTCTGATGTGACCCAAATACGAAGTTTGCACTGAATAAATTCTGTTGAAGTTAGAGCTCAGAGACCATAATTTTTTTCCTTGTTAGATTTCCTTAGGTATTTTACCATTTTTTTTGCCTATGAGTGTGGAATATTTTCTACCCATTCTATTTTGGACTGGTGTGACTACTATATAGAAAGTCCACTTAAAAAATATTTGTCAAGAACACTTACAACCACAGCAGATTTTATTAATTTTGAAGTAGAATTTCTTGACTTTTACAGATAAGCAATCATATTTGGAAAACATGAAAATACTTTTCAATATTTATAAAAATTATATAACCTCCTTGACATATTACATTTGACACATCATTTAAAACAATAATGATAAAATGTTAAAGTCATGCTTCATTTTGTTCCTACTTTTACTTAAATGACTACAGCATTTTTTCACCTACAATGATATTTGCCATTATTTTTGGTACATGAATTTAAATGATTTCTAGTTTAGAAATTTTATTTGTAATTATTGCTTGATCTTATTTATTCCTTTTAAGTCATATATTGATATGATTATATAGCTTTTTCTTTATTTGGTTGATGTAATGAATTTTGTTGTTAGATATTTGGAATCATTACCTCCCTGCTATAATAAATCTACATAGTTATGCTGTATTATTCATTGCAGACATTGGCATATTTGATGTATTTTCATACGTTATGTATGTTTTCTAAAATAGATTTTTTGGCATCTACATTATTGTGAAATTGGTCTATTCTTGGTACACTTGTTAGTAGTGAGTTATAGTAGCTTGTTAAATTAATGCAGAAATGTCTATATTTTATATGATCTATACTAGTTAAACTGACATCAAGCTTATTTGATCTTTAAAGATTAGACTATAGAATATTTTACCTTTATACAATAATATAGATGGTAAAAATGTTAAAAAATTAGCAAATATATTTAGTATGTAAATTTGTGACTTATATTTATGTACCCTTTCTCATACAAAATCTTGTATATTTTTACTTTTCTTTATAATAAGGTTTGTGATGACTTTGTATTATTTATCACCTGCTTTACTCAAAAAAGTTTGCATTGTATATTTACTTTTTTTTTGGAGGCAGGGAGTAATGGTGGTACTGGGATTCTACCTGACCTTTTTATTATTTTTGTTATTGCTGTTTTAAGACAAATCTTACTAAGTTGCCCAGGCAGGACTCAAACTTGCTATCCTTCTGTCTCAACTTCCCAAGTGTTGGGTGTAGTTATCCTTTTAATTATTTTTATCTTGATTTTCATTAATCTCAGCCAGTGTTTAATATATTAAGCCTCTCTTTTTGCTAGCAAGTTTTTAACATATTAAACTAGTAAAAATGTGTGATGGTTAATTAATTGTCAATTTGAGTGGGAACGCCTAGCAGATTTGAGTCAGCATGACTGTCGAACGGTATAAAAGGAGGACTGGAGGAAAGAATATCAGCTGATCTTCCTTGGAAGAGCTTCCTTGTGGCTGCTTTCCTTTGGAAGAGTTTGGGTGGTTTTCTCCCAAGGAGCTTTGGCTGCTTTCTTTCTTTGAGGGAGCTTCAGTCCTTGTCTTCTTCTTGGACGCCATCTCCTGGCTTCCAGTACAGATCCCTCAGCCTTCTGGCTCAGACCCTTCAGCCTTTGGGGGCATACACCTCCGCTTCTGACACTGGTCTTTGGGGCTGTCAGGGGCAGATCCTTTGGCTTCCTAATAGGACTTGCACGGAACATTGCTGTGGGCTCTAAGCCCTTGATTGGATCCTTTGGGTCTCCAGCACACAGACAGATAGATGTCTTGCACTCTTCTGCATCTGACTCTAGTAAATATTGACTAATACAAAATGTTAGTTCTTTCAAAATAAATACACAAACCATTACTTTTAGTTTTTAACTGTAAATTATTTTCTGGGCATACATTTTGCCTTGTTCCATGAATTTTGGGTATGAAACAGGTTTTATTTCACTGATACATGGGTACTTTGGGTGTGTTCCTTAATTTCTATTTTTAAGTTGAAGAATATCTTTTAATTTTATTTCTTTTTAGTGGTTTAGGATGATGTAAGTGGCCCCCACCCACATCTTTACTTTTTTGAATGTCTATGTTTTTCTTTGTTATAAAATATAAAGGTGATTTTTGTAAGTACTCTTTGTCAATATAAACATTTATGTTCTCTATTTAGATGTAAAGTTATGTGTTACTAATTACATATTATATCCTTCTGTGTACTTCCTGTTATCTATATGATCTATTTGGTTCTGATGGAGGTATATTAAAATTTCCCAAAATAATTATTTTTAAAAGGTTTTCCTTGCATTTATAAATGTCTTTCTTTTAACTATTTAGTTGCTATATATCACCAGATTTTAAGGATGTATTGAGATTGTGATTTTTAAATCCATTATTTACTATTTGTTGCCTTTGCTCTCTTTCAGAGAATTGTTTGCAGGTAAAGGGCTATATGGCTGATTAAGTCCTTAAATGTTTCAAAATCTGCAAATATCATTTAGTTACCCCAGTAGTGACATTTTTATGTTGCTGGGGACAGGATTATGGGGTAAAGGTCTTTAGTCTATGTGATCTGCATGTTCCATTCTACTTTTAGGTTGATGCCAGTCTGATTCTTTGGCCTTTTTAATTGTTGTTTCTCTCTGAAAACTTCCAAGACTTTATCCACAAAGTTCAGGGATTTTACCAGGATATTCCCAGGGGGATGAGTCTAGCCCTCCTACAGTAATATAAATATAGGGACAGTGACTGGAGAAAATGTGGCTTGTCCAAGGTCTCACAATGAGTTAGTGGTTAAATTAGGACACTTTATACCTAGTGTGGTCCTGCTCTGGCATCTGATCCCTGACACAGTGATAGGCTCAGGTGGTCTTAGCAGTCCCTGTTTGTACATGGTAGAAATCGACATATATTCCAGGAGGACTGTAATCTTAGTGTCCTCTTTGACACAAATGAGAGATTTTTCAGAGAAAGAGACTTTAAAAAACAATAACAATTATTATGGTTTGTATCTATATTTCCTCCAAAGGACTCATGAGCTCATAAGTGGAGATTTTGGAGTATGATTAGATTATTGGGAATTTTAGCTGGTTTGCTGTTAGGAGATAGGGTATGGTCACTGTGGGTATGACTTGGAAGGCTACATTTTACTTCCTGGCTCCTCCCTTGTCCCAGTCTCTGCTTCCTGTCTGCCATGAGGTGAGTAGCTTTCTGTCAACCAGGCCCTTCAACGATGCTGCTTCTGGTTGGAGCCAGCCAACCATATAAAAGGACGGAAACTTCTAAAGCATCAACTGAAATAAGCCTCTCTTCCTTTAATTTGCAGGTATTTTTTGTTCTAGTGTCAAAGAAAGTGACTGAGACAACAATTCAAGGTCTTTCTTGGGGAAGGTGCACTACAATCTCATAACCAAGTTGTATCCTTGCAGCAAATGAGAACGTCTAAGAGCAAAAGGATTAGGTAATGTGCCCCAAATGCCATATTTAATGATGAGCCCATGTGTTGAGCCCAGGTTGTCAGTACCTTTTTCTGGTGCTGAAACCGTCTTGGCTGCAGTTTTGGATAAAAATGATCCACACTCCTGGGTTTATGCTTGAACAAGTAAGTTAGATGTCTAGTGGGCCGTGTTTAGGATTTCAAGGGCTGACTCTGTACTCATGGAAACAGAGAGAACTGTGGATCTTAATTCCCTGTATTAGAAATGTACCCTTGGCCTGGTATCTACAAAATATCCTAGACATAGGTCCCTAGGGAGAAAAATTCAAGTAAATTCCCTAAAGTCTAGCTACTCAAACTTTGCTAAGATTTACTTTGGAAACATGCTCCAATTGCTTTTCCAGGATCTTTTACTGGTCTATATTCAGAGTGACCTTTCTAAAATTCAAATGCAACTTGGTAATTTCCTTCTTAAAAATTTTCAGTGATTTACCAGTGCATTTCAATCAGGTTTATGTTTTACAAAAGCCAATCTGAGAATTTTGCTTTCAGCCAAGATGGCATAACAGGAACTTGAGTTTTACCTTCCAACATAAGCAATTTAAAAACCGGCATGTTATAGAAAACTGCAGTTTTCAGACATTGGACAGTATGCAGCACAAGTTGGTGATCCTTGAATGAGCCCTATGACTGTTCCAGCTAGCAGCTAGAAGTGGGAAACATAGGAAGAACCAGCAGTCCCCCTGAGTTAGAAAGAGAGAGAGAGAGAGAGAGAGAGAGAGAGAGAGAGAGAGAGAGAGAGAGAGAGAGAAATTTAGGTAGACCAGCTATAGCAGGAGAAAGCTGTAAGATTGCTGCAAAGTTATGAAAAGGCTCCTCTCAACTGACTGTAGTGCTAATCACACACAAGAATGAAACTATACAGCTGACAGAAATGGCAGACAAGGCCACTGAAATGGCTACTTAAATATACTGTTATTTTCATCAAGGATGGACATGGTAAGGAGAGACATGGAAGATCAAAAGAGGCCCAAATTGAAGTTATAGAGATAAAAATGACAATATTTGAAATGAAAAATACATAGAATGGAATTAACTGATTAAACATTGCAGAAATGACAAGTCAACTTGAAGAGAGCAACAGAAATTATACAAA